GATCCCTTTCGCGTTGTTTTGACAAAGCGATCATTTTGAATGGGTATCGCTCGCACCGATGTCAGTTAAACGAAAGCTTTTAGCTGTAATTAAAGAATATAACAGATTTGTCGTGTTCATGGTACTTTAAATTTTTCAATTTTTTTTCTATACGATCTCTTATTTATAAATACAGTACTTATTTATAGTAATGTGTTATTTATTTTTTATTGCACAGAATGAATTAATTTATGCTCACTTGTCCGTATAAATAAATCAGTGGCGATACAATTTTCGGTTTTTCTAATAAGATTTATATAATTTAAATTAGTTAATTGTTTATTGTGCACAAGAAAAGCTGGGTATCGAACCTTTGGGATGAAGAGTCGCACTAAACCAAGACGGCTACTGCTAGCCTATATTTAAACATATATTATTTAAATAACTCTCCGATAACGAATTATAATTTTTTTTCTAAAGCTAAAATTTTTTTTTTTAAATAATCTTCCGATCCTTTAAAAAATCCTACCCCGGCGACTGCGTCATCATCTTCAAATTTATGACCCCTGAAATATTCCTTTAACCTTTAGGTAGAAATGACTAGGAGCTAGGTCCGGTGAATATGGAGGATATTCCAAGCCTAGCTCTAACAAAGTAGAAAACTCGTAGTAAAACAGAAAATGTTCTAGAGTCTCGGCACCTTTTATGGCTTGTCCGCTACTGAAGTTCGTTAAGACGTTCGCAATAAAACATCGGACACTCTTATTACACAGGTCCTAAAGGCTAAAGGCGTATCATTCAGGTCACCAACATGTTTAATAGGCTGTGCCCGCGACTTTGTCTGCATTGTATCAGACACAATCAATACAATCTATTTTTTAGCAAAGTTACTCAGACCGCTAAGGTTATATCTATTTATTTCGTATTCCTATAGCTGACATAAACTGTATATAACAAAAATCAATTATATCTATCTATTAAACATACATAATATATTTAAGTTTCAAATATATACGAAAGGAAAATAATCAATAAAAATGATTAAATACGTAATACCTAATTCGGATGTGTTGTGTGATGGTATGAATGAGAGGGTATATATGTGAGCGTATGTATGTACATTGTACCCACATATGACATGATATATCATACGCTCATGATGCAGGTGATTTAGTGCTATGGCCATTGTCTCCTTCATAAACATCTTTTTGTCCTAGGCGCGAAAGACAGTCCCATGTGCAGAGGCTGTTTCAGCGCAGAGGAACCAGTCACCCACGTAGTCCTGGAATGTGAGGCTGTGGCTAAACAACATACAGAAATCCTCGGAGTAGTGAGGTCGCTTCGTGAAGCCTGCGAAGTGCCCAGGAAACTTATGTGCTTCTGGAAGGAGCTAGGCTGGCTTAGTTAGCCAGGACTTTAGGCACTCCGGACCTAGTGAGTGTATAAGTGCGGAAACTGAGTCCCCCAACGTTGTTTAAACGTTGTTTTTCATACCGAAGCTTGTTGCATGTCTTCGATCGTACGAGATGTTGGCTAAACTGGTTCCGCTTTATTCAAAAGCAAAGTTTGTTTCAAATGTGATTAGAATACATACAATCAAAACGCACTACCATTTCATATACCATTCGATTCGTCTTTCATTTAAATTCTAAGCCTCCGTCATAAAGCTCAAAGTCTGGCTCTTAAAAAGTATTCATGAAAACATATGAGGCACGTAACGGTGCAGCATCAACTATCACCTACACGCGAGGTTATAGCCTATTGTTCTCTAGCCTGCATCTTAAGTGCATTCACTGTTACATTATTAGCAACTATTAGTGTTTACGCCGACATATCATATAATTAATATAACAATCTGTGCTCTATGTTCTTCGCTTTATAGTCTATGGTTCAAAGCTGGGGTTACACTATCACAAACTGTATGACAACCACGACTAAAACCGTTGTTTACCTACCCAGAGGGTCGTTTTTCTCAAGGGGCCATCCATAAAGTACGTCACACGAATTTTAGGACTTTTGAACCCCTCCCCCCGTCCTTGTCACAGGTTGTCACATTTTTATAATCCCCCCTCCTGATGTGACGTCACACATTTTTTCCTGCGCCGGCGCGTGAGGTAGCACTTGTCGAAGGTCTCGCAAACCACCGACGTGCGGAACGATAGAAAAGCGAGCGAGCACTCGCCGACGACTTAAACCTATTTAAATCCTGAACATTCAAAATTCTCGTGAATTTGAGTGTCTCACTCGCATTACATCGCCGCTCTAGAAGTTAAATGACGTTGCATGAGAGATTATCGCATAGCGAGAATGCTAAATTATTAAATTTCGTAAATTTTTAATTCACATCCAAACTTTGCGTTTTAGTATTTTAAATGCCCCTTGTCACACGATGTCACACTTCGGTGATACCCCCCCTCCCCATTAACGTGTGACGTACTTGGTGGATGCCCCCCCCCATTAACGAGTGACGTACTTTTTCCAATGGTTGATTTACACTTTAAAGCAAATTTCATCATAACTAATAAAAATACAAGAGAAAAAAAGACGAAGTACGCTCTTTTCTCCAAGGCATCTGTGTTGTATTGGTTCGGAAATACCTCTACTGGTACCTGGTTCCAGGTACAGAAGTAGTGCGCGTCAAAAAGTGCATGCCAGGCGTCAAGATGGATAGGATGTAATATAGCATTCTGACTCAACGTCCGATGATGGAATTCAGCCGCTGCAGATGATGCTAAGGGAACCAACATGTTTACGCAAACACGACCAAATGGAAGGAGCTGGTACTGGGGAGTGCCCAGAGTTGAGAACAGTACTCCATGTGGGGCCAAATTTGCGCTTTATACAGTTGCAAGCGGTGACCCGGAGTGAAGTACCGTTTCGTCTTACCGAGCATACTCCGAATGACCGTGAAACTGAACGTTGATCGCTATGTCAACGCTGAGCGTTTCGATACATGCTGAGGCTTAAGGGGAGTGTCCCAATGTACCAAAACTCGTTTACGAAACGCTAAAGGACAAGCGAATCAGCAAGCTATTTGTTCCAACAATTTTTTAATATTAAAGAAGTTGAACACTATTAAATAATATTAAATTTCAATATTTTTCCAACAGTAGTTCGTGTATTCATACCCGAGCCAGGTACCGATACAGAGTACTTGTGAAAATCCAATCTTAAGGTACATATATTGTTGTCTTTTGAAGTTTAGATTTTCAACAGAGAGCTTTTCACTGAGTTAGCTTTTATGTACTAGATTTCATAGTGGGGCGTGAGGCGGATTATGAGCCGTTTTATTGATACATTATCCTTGCAATATGTGTAGAATATTAAATGTTTCACCGATAATCAAACGTAGGTGTGTGTATATAAATACGATGTTCGTATCACATTACTACAAAGTAAAAATAATAAACAACTTTAGTAATGGCAACAGATTGTTTGCTTTAATGTTGAGTTTCAGTTGTTTTATTGGAATTTGACTAAATTTATGCATAAAAGGACCGTGATAATTATAACTGTGTTATCTGACGTAGGCTACGAATAAAGGGGTAAAATTTATACTCTTGGTATTGGGATACTAAAACCAATAATATTTGTCGAATTTAGCGCCACTAAGCATGGTTTAAATATGAATTGAACTTAAAATAATCTAATAACAATTTATATGATGCCCTCCCATTATAAGGCATGGTTTACTTGTTTCAATAAATCGAAATTCAAATTTGAAAATTGGAGGTTTTAATGAACACGTAAATTTTTCAAACAAAGTAATTATTTGTGTTTGATATTTAAAAATTAACAAATATAACATAATATTAATGAATTATTTTGTAAATTAATATAAGATATGTCGGGGCAATGGCGTTACTGTCAGCTATATATCACAGAGCTTATAGAAGTCAAATCATTAAAAAACCATACTAGTAGTTAATTTTTGGCAATATTATTAGTTCTATAAATAATCTATTCAATGGTCTATACTCTATAGTAATAGTGATTCCATTTCAATTATTATTAAATTAATTATTAGCTGTGACCTAAAATGACAATGACAGCTGACAGTAACGCCATTGCACCAACATAAATAAGATGTGTTTAAAAAACATCTTTGAACTTATAAAACGCTGAATCGAATCAGAGGTCTAAGCGAACCCCTATCAAAGCACAATATACTGTGGTTTAAGTACATGTATAGGTACATACTATGTTTATATCACAATCGGGCGATGGTAAGACGAGAGACCGCAGCGGGCAGGCTTTGTGCTCGATGTTGAATAACACCCGTGGCCACGTCACAAGCGACACTTTTAGATTAAACAAATATAAATTATGAAGTTAACTTACCGCTCTTTCAAATCAGCGCCTTTTTGAGATACGACTTACACTTTTAAAATTTTTAATAGGTAAATAACATCGTTACCATGACAACACATTTTATATGGTATAGTACTTTTTTGTCGTTACATAGTTGTAGCGTACCAATAGATAGATGAAACGACTGCGAGATTGAAGTTAATTTTTTTTACGGGATATCATCATCAGGGGAGGGTCATCACAGCCCATGAACACATTTAGTGGATGCGTTGCCGGTATTGAGGGTGAAGTATGCTCTCTTTTTAAACAACTGGAGGTCGTATCTCTCAGGGAAGACCTCCACCAAGAGTCACCACAGTTCCCTAATGTGTAGAATTGAATTAATTACTAAACAGTGTTTATAATTACCTACCTCAGACATACGTTCTGACATACTCTCACATCCACGCCGTCATTAGATTCTCCAATTGAAAACTGTATTTTTTTTTATTGTTTATAGCTTTTAAAATGTATTCTGTATTGTAACGCAATTTTTACCGAGTTATTTACTGTATTTATAGATACATTTCCCCGCTGTCCGCTACCATGTATAAGTCAGGCCATACCCGAAGCCGCTGAGTGGCCGGGCGTCAGGTGCCCGTATTTTGGTCGCTACGGCTCCAGCCTTCTCAGTTTATATAACACACGACGTTATATAAGCTCGCCTTCTAATGGCTTTACATATTGCAATAAGCCGAGTCGGCTTTCCCTTCGCCTCACTGCAGCGTCTTATGAATGCATTGGAACTGAGAATAACGCCGAAACAGAATTTGTATCACCTCGAATTGGATGACGAATCGGTATGCACTGCATCAAAGATTTCATAAAAGCTAATGCTGAATAATTTCAATACATTTTATTTTAATTATCCTACCCGTTCAATTGTCTTGAATTATCAGTATATTGAACATATTTTAAATACATTTTAAGGAATTTTTTGCAAGAATTTTATTTTTAACACACATTTCCGTTATCTCAAAGCCTTATCTTCAAAGTTCATACAACAGAGTTGATCATTGACCAGAACTAGTGACATTTAATAGTTGATAAATCAAAATTAAATATATCCCAGAAATATAGTTTTGGTATAAGTTTTGCGTTTACGATCGTCAAACAAATGAAGATCAGAGGGAAATCTGCTTAAGCAATCCCAAAAATAACTGTTATTTATATCAAACCTGCAGAAGGCTTATATACCCGTGTACATAGAGACAAGACAGCTCAAAGGTATCTTCAGTATATAGTACATAGGCTATGTATTGCGTGCGCCGAGCGCGAAAGACTTGGACGGGAGCTTAGTCGCTCGCTCCTAATGACCGACGTTTGGTGATACCCTGCTTATAGACATGAGCGGAGCGACTTATTTTTATTAATCGATATTTAATATTCCATAAGACATTTGGACTGGGCATATCATAAGGTAGAAAAATATACTAATGACGTCATAGAATGGTATCCCAGAGATGGAAGAAGGAAAAGGCGATCAAATAAAGAGAAGGGAAGACGATATGTCGGAAGGATGGAGAAGATCACCTCGTGAAAGAGATGAGTGGAAACGACAAGGGGAAGCCTATGTCGGAAGGCATCCTGACCAACTGCCTACTGATAAATAGTGTGTTATAAAAAATAGAATTAAAATGTATGTTATCGCTTAGGTTAAAATTATGTAAATGTATGTATTTGGTTAGTGAGTAAAGGCTTTTATTATTATTATTATTATTCAGTTATTTACTAAAAGGACCTTTACTGGTATACTTTCCTTGTTGCCCATAAATGTAATTTTCGGCGACGGAGTTTTTCTTTACCGTCATTTCTTAAAATATTATTATTTCGCATTTTCATTCTTATTATTCTATGAAAATACAAAATGTATTAACTAATTCGACAGTTTAGATAATAATAACCTAGTAGCTTTTTTTAATTAGTGGGTCTTAGCTTCAGACTATGAATATCTGAAACGCTGAATGAATTGTTTTTACAGGCAACTACCTGACTAAGGCCAACATTTTTAGGCTTTTACATTTATGGTACACCATAGGGTTTTGATTTAAATATCAATTATTGGGAATACCTACCCTTTCAAAATCCTTTATGAAAAATTCATGCCCTGTATTCAAAATGTCTTTATTCAATAGCAAGTTACATTGTTTAAGCAGATATCGGAGCCCCTGAGCTAAGTCTAGGGACCACAGGGTACTCCACTCTTCCAACTGTCTAATGAAATTGTAACTTAACAAATGATACCAAAATACTATATAAAGAAAAATAGAAAGCTAAGACTTATTACTAAAATAAAGATACAGGTTTACATAGTTGAGACTTTTGTACACACCACTGTGATAATGTCAGGAAAGGAATGGATGAGATGGGAGGTGGCGAGTGCTAGTGTAAAAGAGTGTAATTGTAATAAGTATCTAATTCGAAATATCTAGATAGAACCAATATCCCTGTGTATAAGAACTCGCTCCGCTTATCAACGTTATCAGAGGCCTCGATCAAGTAACCTGGCTTGCAAATGGCCGTCATGACATCTAAGACTCAATTTCTGGCGGTGTGGAGCGCGGCGCGGCAAGAGGGTCTGCGAGAGGCGCGGTTTGCGGTGGTATGCCACAGCTCACCAGTTGCGACCGCGGCGCCAATATTTAGAGTATATTAGTTAGTTTTATTAGTCGTCCCACAATTTTTTTATAACATGCCTATATTTATGATGTGGATGTTTTGACATCCATATTGCTGGTCTACTTCAGTATTTCTACTAATAAATTGTTTTGTATCCATTATTTTATATGAGCTCAATGCGCGATAAAAACAAAATTATTTGTTTTGTCGCGCGATGCTAAATGCGTCCACCAACGCCGGGGGCCCCCCCCCCCCTCGGGGCGCCCCCCCCCCCCCCTTGCCTTGGTTTTCCCCCCCCCCCCCCCCCCCCCCCCCCCCCCCCCCCCCCCCCCCCCCCCCCCCCCCCCCCCCCCGGTCGCACCGCAATGCGCGTCGCCGATAGCTGTGGCATACTTCATACAATTTTCTCAATTTGTTTTTGCCGCTCGCCGCTTTGCGCGCCGCAAACCGCGCGAGGTGACTGTGGCCAAGGGGTAAGGTCTACATAATACTGCAGCGAGTGCCTTCACAGCATTTGCGTCTGACGTCTTCTGTTTTGAATGCCGTATCGCATTCCAGTTCATTGCGATAAAAGAAAATATTATTTAACCCATTTCTTAGGTAATTCGAAATTATAAAAATTAAAAGGTAAGATGATTTTTTTTGGTACTGTTAATTACAAGTGAATCAAAGTTATCAGGAGCTTTAAGTAAGTGGGCGCTTTTTAGGTCTGCGCCTCAGATTTCTGTATCTGTCTTATGATCATTTTACAATCTAATAGGCAAATATATATAAATAGGTGATCAGCTACCTGTGCCTGACACACGCCGTCAACTTTTTTGGGTTTAAGGCAAGCCGGTTTCATGACAATGCAGCGATGTTTAACTGCACTGTTCTACCGAATTTTAAATGCGCTCATAGAAAGTCCATTGGTACACAGCCGAGGATCGAACCTACGAGCTCAGGGATGAGAGTCACACGCTGAAGCCACTAGGCCAAACACTGTTATCATAATGACATCTTATTCTCTTTCATGTAGTTCAAGTCTCTTTTACCACTTCCTTAAAAACAAAATTATCACTAACATTTCAAAAATCACAAATACATACATTCACTAAACCACTCAAACAATATCTTGTTAACCTGTCATATGCTGAGACTGAAAATATTCTGATTGTGCAAAAATTGTTTAAATATACGTTTATATTTAAACTATGTAGAAATCATTAATATAATTTATAAAATACAGGGAATCCTAGTGTGGGGGATAATGCACTTTACTTAATTTAAATATCCTGTACTGTGTATAATAAAGCTTTTTCTTTCTTTCATGTTCCTATCGTATTTAGTTAAAACATCTTAAAACGCAGCTCGATAAAAAAAGAAGAAGATTTCCGTGACATGCCGTCTCCGTCTAAATTGAAGAAACGTTTTGCAACAATGTAAAGAATGCTTACAACCGTTCTTTCAATACAAATCTTTTTACTAACAAAAAAGTCCGTTTCAATGTTATTAGAATCTCTAACATTTGCGTATTGAGTTCCTTTAGGTATATTCCCCCGTAAGAACAATTATAGACTCTATAGGCTAAGTACCAGTGCACCAGTTCCTATCACCGAGTTTCGACAAAGACCGTTCAACCGCAAGCGCTCAGCGTACATGAAGATTTTTGTTAAGAAAATTCATGACATTTTCACTTTCTCATACTAAATTACACAAATTTTAAGCAGAAGATTTTTCTCAATCTGTTTAACTATTTATTTTATGCAGTTTCTGCTGTGCGTCTGCGTGCTGCATGTTTAAAAAAAAATTGTTACGCCATGGCTATCAAACTATTTAATCACCTTCCTAGAAGTTATAGATCACTCCCGTGTAATGCTTTCAAGCGGAAGGTGATTAAATTTTTAATAGGCAAGGTGCCTTCATAGCGTGGGCGAGTATTTATACCATAGGTTTGACAACAATTATAAATAACGTAACTTATGACAATATGAAAATTAATATGACATTTGCATACCTATTTTTATAAGGCTCAATGTGCGGTTTTATTATAACTATTCAATCTAAATGTACCACTTTCTTTGCAAACTAACCTAACCCAACCGACATTCAAAATTCAAACACGATACAAGCAAAATCTTACTGAATAACTTTCACGACACCATAAATTATGTTTAAACGTATTAAAACTAAATGCATGAAACAAATCGTCGACTACGAAAGGGGCCCGGGAGCGGGGAAAGGGGGTGAAGGAGGGAGGAAGTCTACAACTCTACTACAGTACTCTCGATTTCATTCATAACTTTTTACAAGTTTATCTGCGGCGATACCTCCTACATATTTATGTGTTTGCGACCGCCAAAGAATATTACATTTAATAACTCACAGGTGTACCGAACCATCGAATTGAATTACATTATTTCCGTTCTTAAGTTAATTATTTCAAAAGATTAACAAATTTGAATTAATGAATAAGTGTTAGATACAGAAGCTTTTCAACCCCAGATTAACCATTTAGTTAATAACCAATAAAAATATAATGAATGAATTAAAACAATTGTCTTGAACAGAATAACTAAATTGCAATGATATAAATAATTGCGAAATCCACTTGCTACTTTTTACATTTGTACATTATGTTCTCCATTGCATGATAACGCAATAAGCTTAACAAATAGCTGATTGAAACAGTGTCATAAAACAGCAAGATGTTGCGTGCACGATAAAACAATATGCAATAAACGAGCTTGGAACACGGCTATTCACTTGTAGCTCGCGAGTCCAAATGTAAAACCCTTAAAAGGATTGACATTTATAGGCAGTAATTGGATTTCCTGCAACAACCAGTCTCGGGTTTTAATCTTTGATCGAACTCAAACATGCGCAGCGAAGTTGTGATACACACATTTATAAAATGAAATAAAGTTTGTTTTAGTTGGGCATTCGGTATGAATGAAAGCGAAAGGGAGGCAGTTTATTTTGAGCAATTGTAAGCAAACTTTTGTTACGGTTTTTAAATGTTTTATTGCTGTTTTTTCGATACTGTGGAAATTGTGGTGATTATAGAATACTTCAGTTTAATTGGGATATAATTCTGTGAAGTTTCGTTACCTTAGGTCATGGGCAGAATACTTCTACGTCTGATTTACTTTATATAAAAGATGGTTATCTGACTGTAATATATTTCGTACATATCTATTTTTTTGTTATATGCCAGCAAACGGGTAGGACACCTGATGTTATACATGGACACTTTCAATGCCAGAGGGCACGCGAGTACGTTGCTGGCCTTTTAAGAATGGTTACGCACTTTTAAGGAGTTAATAGCTTTTCTCCAACACATCAACAATATGAGCTACATCTAAAAGTGTTTGTATGAATTTGCCCTTCGCGTTGGATCTATGGCCCAATATAGTAGCCAGTGGCCAGCACATATAGCAGTGACCCGTGAATCCAAGAATAATAAAAAAATCTTTAGAGGTGTCAAGGGACACCCGGATGGAACGAAATTCCTTTCGATTAATTTATATGTTAATTGGTATCATAACAGTATGATAGATTTTCTCGACACCAATCTTACGACGAAAAAAAAAAAGCCAATATAACGAGGTGTTCCCAGGCGGTCACCCATCCAAGTACCTGACCTCGCCCGACGTTGCTTAACTTCGGTGATCGGACGAGAACCGGTGTATTACAATAGCAAATAGCAAAAAAGTGTCGTGACAACTTTTCGTAAGAATTTTTTCCGTCTAGCCCCCTTTCACAACGCGCGATAAGGAACTTCGTTCCAATAATAATAAAGCTCCTTTATTTTTTAGTTATATTAAATTTTTCTTGTTTCTCGTTATCCTAACTTCCTTCAGTACCTTTGATCGGAACCCCTTCGTAAACCCGCCTATATCTTTTTCCAAATTTCTCTATCTATGGTTTTCCTTCTCCATTCGCTTAATGCTAACGCTTCCAAATATTCTATCCGCGGTTTTCAAGCACACCCTCTTCGCCTTCTTCCCCTTGG